TAAATAAATAAATAAATAAATAAATAAATAAATAAAACAAAAGCTGCCTTACTAAAGGAGACAAGAAATTTTGGAAACTTATCTGTCCTGACATCTGGCTCTGGAGGGAAGGAAAAAAATCCCCTGAAAATGCACAACCACAGGCCAATCTTCATGCAGGTTAAGAATTCAGATTCATACTACCTACATGAGCCAGGAAATTCAAACTGAAAAATCTATTTACGCGTCTTGTATTCTTTTGTGACTTCTTACTCTATTGGAGCCAAATTGACTCCAGAAGAAATAAATACTCTTTGATCTATCACTAAATAGATCTATAACTCCTTAAGATGTTGAAATTGCAGTGTTAAATCATCCCATATAGAAAATGCTAGGCCCAGTAGATTTACAGACGAGTCTACCAAACATTCAAGGAATTATTAATCTCAAGCTTAAATTCTTCAATGAATAGAAAAAAGGGACCACTTCCCAACTGTTTATAAAGCTGGTAGAACCTTGGTAACACAGAGAGGGATAAGACAAGAAAGGACAATTATGGGCTAATCCTATATATGAACATAGATGTAAAATCCTAAAGAAAATATTAGCAATCTGAATCCTGTGATTCATAACAAAGCTAATACATCATGGTCAAATTGAGTTTACCCCAGGAATGAAAGGCTGGCTTAACATTAGAAAATCTTATTTTATTCCTGGCATTAACAGATTAAAAAGGAAAAAAAACACATCATCTCAGTAGATGTGGAAATTTTAAATTAAATTTAAAGCCCATTCAAGATAAAACTCAACTAGAAACAGCAGGACCCTAATAGATTTTTTTCTTATTTATGTATGTATTTATTTATTTAGCTGAGCCATCCTGCCACCTGTTGGCAGCTCAGCGGCTGCTCAGCTCAGGCTGGGACTCGAACCGCTGTTGCTCAGAGCTCAAACTCTTGAGTGAGCTCTTAACCAACTGAGCCACTCAGCCAGCCCTCTTATTTATTTTTTTATTATTAGTTTCAGGTGTACAAAACAATGCAATAGTTATCCTTTTCACGTCTCACAAAGTGACAACCCCCTCCCCCATCCATTGCCCCCCCATCCCCGATATCATACATATCTATTACAATTCCATTGACTCCATTCCCACACTATACTCCACATCCCATGACTATATATATATATTAAATTATAGTTGACATATATTATTAAACGGCAGCTTCAGCTGTACAGTGCAGTAGTCAGGCCTCTACACCGTCTATGAAGTAGCAACAGAAAATATGAAGTACTGAGGAATAAATCTAACAAAAGATGTGACTGACCACATGGAAAAGATTATACAGCTTTATTAAAATACATTTAAAGCCATCAATAAATGGACACATAGCATTTTTATGAAGAGATTCAATATTATAAAAACATCTATTCTTTCCAAATGAATCTCAATTTGATGCAAATCCAAAAAAAATAATAAATAAAATAGGCATTTCCCTGGAACCTGACAAACTGAATAAACAATTTCTATGGAAAAGTAAAGGAACAAGAAAAGTCAAAGTGATTTTGATGAGTAAGAAGAGTGAGAAGGGGTCAGCCGAGTGGCACGTTCATTAGGAGTTGGCTTGGGACGCCAGCTCTGAGCAGCAGGGCCCCGGTTTGGATCCCACATTAGGGCCAGTGATGCTGTGCCCTCGACAGCCAAGATGATAAACAATAGCTCGACCTGGAGCTGGGCTGTCATGAGTCGCCGGTGACGGCGTAAGCTGCTGTGGGGCTGCCCGGTAGCAGGCGTGTGCTTTCGTGAGCTGCCATGAGCCACCATGAGCGGCCGTCCAATGGCCGGCAAGTGACTGCCTCTCCCGGGAAGAGCACAATGATAATACCAACATGGGCCAGTGAAGCGACGTCCTCCACAACTAGACTGAAGAACAAAAGGACAGCAACTTGTCTGATCCCCTTCCCCAATTCCCCAATAAAATCTTTAAAAAAAAAAAAGTGAGAAGAACTGACCTACAAGTTATCAAGGCTTATTAAAAACCATAGTAAGTAAGTCAGTGTGCTACTGATACAGGTATACACAAACACAGACATGGAGGAAACCGGGAACCCAGGACTAGACTCCTGCATATAACAGGCAGTGACATCAGTCAGTGGGGGAAAAGATGGACTAGACTGTTCAAATGGAAAAAAAAAATGGATCTCTGACTTATAAGCCAAGAACAACAATAACAAAAACAAACCCAAACAAAACATCAATGTGGATTCAAGACCTACATATGAAATACTTCCAGAAGAAAATACAGGCTTAAGGAAGGACTTCCTAAATAAGACAAAAACACAGAGTACAAAGTATAGATAAAAGTTTTTATATTAAAAAAATAAAACATCTATTTTTAAAAAGAAACTGTCATATTGTCATATATTTTTTTAAACTTCTAATAATTTAGAGATACATACTTAAATATAGAGGAATAAAGTAATGCCTGGGATTTGCTTCAAAAAATCAGGGAGTAAAGGAATGAGAAGGGTTATTGTTGACATAAGCTTAGCTCTGAGTTGCTAATTGTTGAAGTTGGGTGCTGAATATGTGGGATTCATCGAATTTTCATAAAAAAGGTAAAAAGGAAAATGTGTGTATTATGATAACAGGATACCAGTTTTCACCCACCAGATTAGCAAACACTTTAAAATCAGATAATTCTAAGTGTTAGCAAGAACATCAGAAAGTGGGAACTCATACACAAATGTAGGAACATAAATTGGCACAACTGATTTGGAAATGTGGTATCTTCTACCAAAACTGAAGATGTATATTCTTTACTATCCAGCTGTTCCCCATCTAGGCTACATATTAGAAAACTTTACTCATGGAAATATATACAAAAATGTTCACAGGCTCATTGTTTTTAATAGCAAAGATACTGGAAACAACTAAATGTCCACTTGTAGAAAAATGTATGACTACATAGTGGTATATTTACATAATGGAATGTAAGTGAATTTACTGAAGTTACATGCCTCAATAATCGATAAATCTTACAACACATGATAAACAAAAAAAAGGAATTTTCAGAACACAAACATAACATTTTTATGTAAAGTATAAAACCATGTAAAAGTAAATATGTTGTCAAGGATACATACAGATGTAATAAATTTCTAAACAAAAGCTAAGAATGATAAATTCAAAATTCAGAGTAGTGGTTATTTCTGGTATGAGGAAGTAGGAGAATAATTAAGGGCACAAACGGTGCACCCTAGCAATTGTAAGGTTTTGCTTCTTAAGCTAGGTGGTAGATACATGAGTGTACATTATAATATGCTTTCATCCTTTGTAATAATTCATAATTAAAAATATAACATTTTGTCACAATATATACAAATACCGACTCATATACCTGAAATAATATAATGTTATATGCCAATGTATCTCAGTTAAAAAATATATATGTATAAATTGTTTTCAGGAAAGGGAGGGACCATGGAAGGGGGAAGTGAGAGAAGAGGCAGGAAAATACATATTGGGAGAACAAGAAATTCATTTCGGTTCAACAACAAACTTATTGAGAACAGATGAATGAAACCTTGCCTCTCTTACAAGGTACACCATCATCTGCCAGAAGAAAAGTGCTGGTTCCTCTCAGTGCAGAGGTGAAGAAGCTACTGTATAGCGTGAGTTCTAGCCAGACCCCTAATGTGTTTTGATGATGTCAAAACATCTGTGAGCAGGCTTTTGGTCCCAGGAAAAAGGTCTGAGCCTTCCTTCTCATCATCCCACCTGCTCCCTGCCTTCTTCTGTCTATTCAGAATGGCTTCTAGGTTTGGTCTTTAATGACATGCATGCAGTAAAAATAAATACAGTTCGGTGCTGAGTGCATCTTTCATGTAGATTTCTCCAGTGAACAATGAGGAAAGAAGAGCAGCAGTGTGACTGTGAAGAAATCGATACCTGTGGCTTTCTCCTGACGTCTGTTCCAGGGCTTTCCCAGGAAACTGGTAAAACCATCGATGCTGAGGCATGTGCTCTAGGCTTCTAGTTCATTCATCGGGTGAGTCATCTCTTCAGGTGGAATGCATCTCTACACCAGTGTGCAACCCCGGGAGAAGAAGACATGGGGATGTGCCAAACTCATGTCCAATTAGGCAGGAGGTGAAACACTGGTGGTCATCTTGGTATGGGCACCTTCTTCTACTACTACCTCCAGTTTCTGGCTTCCTCATGGCCTTCCTGGGGAGTCCCCGGCTTCCTTTTGTCCTTCCTGGGGGAGTCCCCAGCTCCATTTTGGCCTTCCTGGGGGAGTCCCAACTTCTCCATAAACTCCCTGGGGGAGTCCCCAGGACCTTCATAGGGAGCCCACAGGAAGGGAGCCCTGCTGGGCAATCTGATCCCAGGATCACATACAATGTGCTGCCAACTCTGGCTCCTCAGGCATCGTTATACTTGCTGGACCCAAGGCCCTGGGCTCTCTAACTTGATTTCCAGCTTTGTGCCTACTTTCTGGGTCCCATGGTGATGTAAGACGTATCACCTGAGGGTCTGCAAATCTGAAAGAAACCAAACAATCACAGGGTTTGTCATCCTCCCCAAATCCAGCATCTCTGTTTCCCCAACAAGTAGGTACCTGTTCTACCTTTTAATCGGTTTTACTTCCAAACCTGTGTAATATAATGCCCTCCCCTGGATACATTTATCAGAGGCAAATCTTCCCTATTGTTTTGTAACATCTTGTCTTACTAAACCAGTGTCCCTCCTGGCATTTTCCCAGCTCTTGGTGGATATCTCCAATGTGACCTGGGTGAGAGGAACTCATACTATAAATACTACTACTACTAATGACTAAGACTTATTGAGGACTTGGTATGTGTCTGTTATGAGTACTTGCCATGTACCAGGCCTTGCTCTGAACACTTAGTTAGTATATATATACACTTATTGAGGGATATGGTATCATTTTCATTTTTCCAATGAGGAAACCCAGGCACAGAGGGGTTAGGTAACTGCCCAAGGCACACACAGTGCTTTCCAGAACCTGCATTTTGAACTACTGGGCTACAGGGGCTGTCTCCTGAAAGCCAAAGCAGATCAGACGCAGACCCCTCCTCTTCCCCTCCTTGCATAGCTTACAGCGCAGGACGGCCTCTTTGACTTGGCGGAAGCCACGTTCGGGGCCCTGGCCATCCACGAAGTACATGAAGCGTAGCTCCGCGGGATAGGCAGCCCTGGCCAGGCCCGCAAGCAGGGGGATGATGCGGCCCTCTGCACCCGGGGCCTGGCTCAGGGCCTGCAGCATTTGGTACCGGCACCACGGGTCGCGCAGGAAGCCAGGCGTGATGAGCAGCACGCGGCAGTGGCTGCTGTCCAGTGCCCGGCACAGCTCGGACACGATGGCGCCACCCGGGGCCGCATCGCGCAGCTGCAGGAAGCAGCGCAGGCCCACGGAGCTGTCCTCCAGGTAGGCGACCAGCTCCTGCGCGGCCGCCAGGTCCTCCTCGCTGTGGCACACGCACACGTCGTAGTCCCTGCTCCAGCGGCCACTGCTGCTGCTGCTGCTGGAGGCGGCCTCGTGTGCAGGTGGCAGGTCGGGAGACACCACCGATGTGGCCAAGCTGAGGCCCGGGGGTGGGGAGCTGTCCTGCGATCTCGTCTGTGGAGCGTCACTGGAGGTGCTTTCCTGGGACACAGGCATCTCCTTGGGCTTCTTCGATAGGGCCTGCCTGAGCCAGTCTGTGGAAGAAACTCTGCTCAGGCCAGAATTCTCACTAGGTCACCTCCTGGCTGCAGAGAGGTGCCCCGGGCCGGAATCCCGCCCACCTTCCTGCAATGGCTAACATCACCTGATTCTCAGACCTTCTGCCGGGCTATTTGCACATCGCTCAGGACTTGCCCCCAATTCCCACTATCTTCAGAGGTTTCGAAAAGACACAAGAACTCTGGCTGTTTTAGAAGTCCTGGGATAAATGAACAGCAAGCGATTATAGCTAATAATACTGTATTGCATATTTGAAAGTTGCTAAGAGAACAGATCTTAAAAGTTCTTGGGGAGGCGGCCGAGTGGCTCAGTTAGTTAAGAGTTAGCTTAAGAGCGCAAGCTCCAAACAACAGGGCCACCGGTTCGAGTCCCACATGGGCCAGTGATGCTGCGCCCAAGCTGAGCTGCCGCCCGCTGCTGCTGAGCTGCCACCCAGCTGCTGCTGAGCTGCCAAAAGGTGGCAGGATGGCTCAGCTGGTGAGAGCACGTGCTCCTAACAACAAGATGGCTTGTTTGATGGTGGGCTATGCCCGCCAGCAACTAAGACTGAACTCAGCACCCTGAGCTGAGCTGCTGCCCGGATGGCTCAGTGGATAGAGCATGCGCTCTTAACAACAACAGGCCACTGGTTCGACTCCCACATGGGATGGTGGCTATGCCCACCCACAATTAAGATTGTAACACAACACCTTGAGCTTAGAGGCCATGAGCTGCCCACGCTCAGCCAGATGGCGACTGGCGCCCTCTACAACTAAAATTGAAGAACAACTTGGCTGGTCCCCCTCCCCAATTCCCCAACACTGTTCCCCTCCCCCAATTCCCCAATTAAAAAAAAAAAGTTCTTGGGGCTGCTGGGTTAGCTCAGATGGTTAGAGCACAGGCTCTTAAGGTTGCTGGTTGGATTCTCACATGGGCTAATGAGCTGCACCCTCTACAACTAGATTGAAAACAACGACTTGAAGCTGATGGGTCCTGGAACAAACACACTGTTCCCCAATAAAGTTTAAAAAAGAAAAAATTCTCAACACAAGAAAAGAAATTCTGTATGTATGGTAACAGATATTAACTAAACTTGTGGTAATCATATATATATATATATATATATATATATATATGTATGTATAAAAAATGTTGTAGGTATGTCAATTATACTTCAAAATTTTAAAAAGCCTTGGTGTAACAATAATATGAAAAAAACCACAAAACAAACTCTGGTTGTTTTACCAATCTGATTGGGAAAGACAGCCCTTGGATTTCTGGCATTCCAGCCTACCCTAACCACAACTTCTGCTAGAGCTGGCTAGTCCACCATCTGCGAGTCTGTAAGTAGACCTATGTGAAGTTAGAATGGATCAGTCAAGTCCCCAGACCCACTTTCAGCACTGAGGGGAGGCAGATTTGGATTAAGGCGGGCTACCCATTGTGTTTGACCCTGAGAAATCCTAGATTGTTGCTAAATGGGTAAAATGAAAGTATGGAAGAGGGCTGCTGCTCACAGCTCTGGGAGAGCATAGAGCTTAGTGGTTCAGGGCCTACACTCTGGAGTCAGGCAGAGATTTGATTGTGGACCTGCTTTGATTGTTGGCTTTCTGTATGACCTTAAGCAAGGCAGTCTGTCTCCATTTCCTCATCTGTAAAATGGGTTCGTTTTAGTTGTTAATTAACTGAGATAATACAGTGTTTGGTATATTGTCAGTACTCCATAATGATTTCAACTCAGCCTCCCCAGCTTTTGATAGTGGTGTTCTAGAGATTGATTTTTTTCTCTCTCTCTGCTTGACTCCTTCCTCTGAATGGTTCTGGATGATTTCGATGACAAGAGATACAATGTTAGGCACTCAGCACCATGGTTTCCAGGCTAGGAAAATTAACTGAGCACACCTAGAAGACCTGTGAGCCAGAAGAACTGCAGGTTCCTCCAATGCATACCTTCTCTCCTCACACACCACCAAGTCTGGACACTGAGGCCAAGGCAGGAGCCCCCCCCCCATCGTCAGCCTCTCTGCATCTCTCCCCTGTGTATGGCCAGGCAGGCCTCCCACCTCACCAACAGGGATACTGAGGACCACACTCACAGGCGCAAGAGCAGCTTTAGGAGTTGGCTTTACTCACCAGCCATCTTGCCCAGAGGCTTCCTGGACCGGGAGCCAGGAGCTGGAAAGGAGGAGGATGATGCCATAGTGTTGGGTTCACAACTAACCCCATGAGACCAGGCATTGGTAAAGCAGGAGGGAGGGGACTCAGTATTGATCTCATGGAACAGCCATCCTACAAGAGACATACAGAGAGGGTGACAAAAGCTGTACTTACCTCACTCTCAGTACCAGGGGTTGGCTCCAATGGGTCCCTCAACCCTCATGGGGGAGACACCGTTATGAATGGGGCTGGTTTCTAGAAAAACCCAGATCTGTGTGGTATAGTTAGACTTACAGAATATGAGCTCAGCATGACCAGTAGAGTGACTGCTCTCTGCTCTACCTGGAGTGCATCTGGGATCTGGGGAAGGGCAGCTGGCAGGCAGCTCTTTACAGAGACTTCCTGTGTAGGTGCTAAAATAGGAGAAGGACAATTACTATTTGGACAAATAATTATGTATCTAGGTAAACAGATGCTGAGCAGAAGAGAGAGAGAACACATGTAAGAAACCTTAAGAAACTCTTCCTCTAAGTCTGCCTTCCCCTGAGTAACTCCATTTATTCATCCATCTATCCATTCCTCTATCCTTCCCTCCTTCCCTCAGCTGTCAGCTTAGGGATGTAGTGTCACATAGTGGTGAAGACTGCAGACAGTGCAGGCCGAGTGCCTGGATTCCCACCTTTTAATAACTGTGGCCTTTGGCAAGCTACTTAATCTTGCTAAGCTTTAGCTACTCCATCTGTGAAATGGAAATCACATTAGGGCCTGCTTCTCACCATTATTGTAAGATTACATGAGATAATTTATGTTATGTGCTAATGGTATATGGCATAGAACGCCCAGAAAATAGCGTGGGTTAGTATGTATTTAAAATTGTCTAGGGCCAGCCAAGTGGTGCGTTGGTTAAGAGCTGGCTTGGGACGCCAGAGGGCCCTGGTTCAGATCCCACATATGAGGGCCAGTGACACTGCCCCCTACAGCTAAGATGCTGAACAACAGCTCAACCTGGAGCTGGGTTGTCGTGAGTCGCCGCCGACGGCGTAGGCTGCAGCCCCTGCTGCAGTGGGTTGCCATGGGCTACCATGTGTAGCCAGCAGCCAGCGTGAGCGGCCCTCAAGCCGTCGTGAGCAGCCGTCCAGAAGCTGGCGACTGATCTGCCTCGCCTGGGAAGAGTGCAATGATGGTGCCAACTTGGGCCAGTGAAGCAACGTCCTCCACAACTAGACTGAAGAACAACAAAAAAAAAGACAGCAACTTGTCTGTTCCCCTTCCCCCAATTCTCCAGCGCTGTTCCCATCCCCCAATTTCCCAATTTAAAAAAAAAAAAATCTTTAAAAAAATAAAAAAATAAAATCATCTAGATATTAGAGCGACATATTATGTTCATGGTTTAGAAGACTCAATATTGTCATCAGTTTTCCCCAAACTAACCTTTAGATCAATGCTATCCCACATTCCACATTCCAGAAGGCTTTTGTTTTTTTGGGGGGGATAGGATTGTCAAATTGCTTCTAAATTTATCTGGAAATGCAAAGGACCAAGAATACCTTAGATGGGTAACTCACCATGTTCTCTTCCCACCACAATGACCAGGATGTCCCTGATGGTAGAGGCTCTTTCAGCTTCCGTTTCTGGGGGGACATGCTGTGGAGCAGAGCCTGGCCTGATCCAACACAGAGCTGCAGATGAAGGGCTGGTGGAGAGCTTGGATCTAGATCTGTAGAGCAACTGACGAGGACTGCTTTCTCACTCTTTGCAGGATCTGGAGAGTTCAAACCAATCCCCTGGGAAGTCATATAGAAACAACTTGTATTATGAGACACACTGAAATAAGGGGTTTCAAAATTTAAAGAATGTCATTCTATGTTGGACAATAATGCTTTGTTCACTGCTAAATGCTAAGCACCCTTATGCCAAGCTGATGAATGTAAGAGATACTGTTGATTCATGAAAATATATATGAGAGAGAGAGAGAGAGAGAGAGAGAGAGAGAGAGAGAGAAACTG